ATTTAAGACCCACCTTGCAATGATATGGTCTTATTAACATGAAAGGAAAATGCTTATTTCCAAACAGGATGCCATCCACAGGTGCAAGGCCTAGAAATTCAGTATGTATTTTGAGAGGACATATGTCAATCTATAACAACATCTTTACCATTTTTTAATCTTAATATCCATTAAAATTTGAATGGATTTATTGCATTGAACACCAGTGACTGAAAACCAGAGGAATTGTGGGATAGCATCAAGAATATCATCCATAAAGAAACCAAAAGGTCATTAAAAAGATGGGAAAGGGAGAAATGACCAAAATGGATGTCAGAAGAGACTCTGAAACTTGCTCTTGAATGGAGAGTAGCTAAAACAGATCGAAGAATTGACAAGATAAAAGAGCTAAACAGAAGATTTCAAAGAGCAGCCTTAGAAGATGAAGTCAATTATTATAATGAAATGTGCAAAGACCTGGAGTTAGAAAACCAAAAGGGAAGTACATGTTCAGCATTTCTGAAGCTGAAAGAACTGAAGAAAAAATTTCAGGCCTGTTGCAATATTGAAAGATTCTATGGCGAAAATATTGAATGATGCAGGAAACATCAAAAGATGATGGAAGGAATATACAGAGTCACTGTACCAAAAAGAATTGGTCAATGTTCAACCATTTCAGGAGGTGGCATATGATCAAGAACTAATGATATTGAAGGAATTGGTGAAAAGCAAAGCTCTAGGAACTGACTGGATACCCACTGAGGTGTTCCAACAAACGGATGCTGTGTTGGAGGCATTTACTCGGCTATGTCAAGAGATTTGGAAGACAGCTACCTGGCCAGCAGATTGGAAGAGATCCATATTTGTACCCATTCCAAAGAAAGGAGATCCCACAGAATGTGGAAATTGTTGAACAGTATCATTAATTTCACATGCAAGTAAAACCTTTCTGAAGATAATTCAAAAATGGTTGTAGTAGTGTATTGACAGAGAACTTCAGAAATACAAGACGGATTCAGAAGAGAATGTGGAATGAGGGATATCATTGCTGATGTCAGGTGGATCTTGGCTAAAAGCAAAGAATACCAGAAAAATATTTACTTGTGTTTTATTGACTATTCAAAAACATTTGATTGTGTCGATCATAACAAATTATGGATGACATTGAGAAGAATGGGTATTTCAGAACACTTGATTGTACTCATGAGGAAATTGTACATAGACCAGGAGGCTGTCGTTCGAACAGAACAAGGGGATAGTGTATGGTTTTAAATCAGGAAGGGAGTGCATCAGGGTTGTATTGTTTTACCATATTTATTCAACCTGTATGCTGAGCAAATAACCCGAGAAGCCATACTGTATAAAGAAGAACATGGCATCGGAATTGGAGGAAGACTCATTAACAACCTGTGATAAGCAGACGACACAACTTTGCTTGGTAAAAGTGAGGATAACATGAAGCACTTACTGATAAAGGTTAATGACTACAATCTGCAGTATGGATTATATCTCAACATTAAGAAAATAAAAATCCTCATAACTGGACCAGTAAGCAACATCACAATAAATGAGAAAAGATTGAAGTTATTAAAGATTTCGTATTACTTGGTTCCACAATTAACACCAGTGGAAGCAGCAGTCAAGACATGAGATGATGTATTGCATTGGGCAAATCTGCTGCCAAAGGCCTCTTTAAAGTGCTGAAGAACAAAGATGTCTCCTTGAAGAGTAAGGTATGCCTAACCCAAGCCATGGTATTTTCATTCACCTCAGTGGGTGCTGGTGAAAAATACTGAAAGTACCATAAACTGCCAAGAGAACAAACAAATCTCTCCTGGAAGAAGTGCAGCCAGAATGCTCCTTGGAAGCAAGAATGGCCAGACTTTGTCTCACCTACTTCAGTCATGTTGTCAGAAGGGACCATTCTCTAGAGAAGGATAAGATGCTTGGTAATGTGGAGGGGCAGTGATCAATGGGTCCTTGTCCTCAACAAGATGAATTGACACAGTGGATGCAACGATGGAGTCAGGTATGTTAAGAATTGTGAGGCTGGCACAGGACCGGGCAGTGTTTCATTCTGTTGTGCATAGGATCATTATGAGTCAGAGCTGACTTGATAGCACCTAAAGGCAGCAACAATATCCATTAAAATGAGATCTCTATTTATGTTTACTTTAATGTCTCTCAGTACATTTTCTCTGTAATAGTGTTGCAGATCTTTTCTAGATTAATTTCCAAGTACTTTATGATGTTACTTTAAATGGTTTCTCTCTTTTCTAAGTAAATACTTTAAACATTTGCTGCTGGTGTATAGGTAAGCAATTGTTTATAAATATTGATCTTACATCTAACAATTTGCTATATTCTCTTTTAATTTTTTAATTTATTTATAAGATCTTTTGGATTGTCCCAGTACTCAGCCATCAACTGCATAGTGTGGTTTTGTATCTTCCTTTTTAATCCTTTTACTTCCCCTAGTGCCCACCCTCTTCCCCTTTCACTTACTGTAATGACTGAAGCTTTCTTCACAGTGTTAATAGAGATTATGATGGAGAGCAACAGATTCTGTGTTATGGCCTGCAAGATCTTTCATCATAAGGCCGTTACCACCATTATTCTCTGACCTCATCTCTAGCTCCTTTCTTCTTGGTTTGCTCTGCTTTAGCTATGCTGGCTTCCTTGCATTCTCTGAAACACTAGGCACTTGCCCACCTCAGGGCCCTTGCATTTGCTAGCTCTTGGGTTTCCCCTAGATGCTTTCCTGACTCTCTTCCTTACTTGCTTCAGGTCTTCACCCAGGTATCTGCTTTCCAATGAAGTCTTCCCTAGCTACCCCGTGTTTTTTTTTTTTTTTTTTTCTTATTTATTTGGGTGAACGTTTACAGAGCAATTAGCGGAGAAAGATAATATTTTATTTATTTAGTTTTTTGGTGGTTGGTTACATCTTTTTTGTTTTGTGTTTTTTTTTTTTTTTTTTTTCTTATTTAAATAACTTTATTGCAGCATATTTTACATAAGATACAATGTGCCTATTTCAATTACACAATTCCATAATTTTAAATAAATTTGCTGAGTTGCACAACCATTATCATAAATGGGTTTCAGAACATTTTCATCACCCAATATTATGCCTAAGGAGCTCTGGTGGCATAGAGGGTAAGGAATTTTGTTGTTATCCAGAAGGGTAAACCCACCAGCTGTTCTGTGGGAGGAAGATGAGGCAATCTGTTTCTGTAAAGATGTACAGCCTTGGAAATCTGGTGGGGATCACTGTGAATTGGAATTGGCTCAATGGCAGTCAGTTTGTATGGCTTTATATTATCCCTGTGCCCATTTTATGGGCACTGTTCTGGGAACAGTTCATCACTGTTCTCATCGCCTGTCCTAGGTAAGCCACTAATCTACTATCTGCCTCTATAAATTTGCCTATTCTAGACATTTTATATAAATGGAATCTTACAATATATGGTTTCTTGTGTCTATAATAGTTTTTGAAGTTTATTCATACTGTAGCATGAGTCTGTATTTCATCCCAATTTATGGCTGAGTAACAGTCCACTGTATGGATATATAACACGTTTTGTTTTTCCATTTATCAGTTGATGGATATTTGGGCTGTTTCCAAATTTTGGCTATTATGAAACATCACAGGTCCCTATCTTGAAGAGTAACCTTTCTTCTGTTCTCCAGCAACACACTTCCTGTCCTTTCCTGCTTTATTTTCTCATTGTTTACCACTATCCAGCATACTATATATTTTACTTATTTATTTTGTTTGTTGTTTGTCTCCTTCACTAGAATCGAAGCTCCATGAAGACCATATCTCTCATGTTGATCATTGTTGGATCTTTAGGTCATAGAACTATGCCTGGTGTGTTGTTGTTGTTAGGTGCCACCAAGTTGATTCCAACTCATAGTGACCCTGTGTACAACAGAATGAAACACTGCCTGGTCCTGTGCCATTCTTACAGTCTTTGCTATGCCTTAGCCCATTGTTGGAGCCACTGTGTCAATCCTTCTGTTGAAGGTCTTCCCCTTTTTTTCTGCTGACCCTCTATTTTACTAAGCATAAGCATGATGTCCTTCTCCAGGTATATAGTAGGAAATCAGTAATCATTTGTTGACTTAATAAAGGAATAGATGAGTAGGATATTTACCTAAAATGAACTATTTTATTATTTAAGTAATTTGATATTAGTTTCTGGAATATTACTACTTTTTTCAATCTCTTCATGACAACTTAAGATGCTTCAGAGTACCTTCCAGAGACTTCTGATAGTTGTTAGATTTTTATCATTAGTGACTTTTTCTAGGAAGAAAGGTCTGGTGATCTACTTTTGAAAATCAGCCAGTGAAAACACTGGCTCACAATAGTCCCATCTGGAACTGAACATGGGGATGGCACAGAATTAGGCAGCATTTGGTTCTATTGTGCATGGGGTCATCACGAGTCAGAGGCTTACTCTACAACAGCTAATAACAAGTGACTTTTCGCTCACGTGTTGTCAGTGCTCTAATTACTATGGCAGTATACCATACGTTCTGGGCATGGCATCACATGGTTTACAAACATGGACAAGGGAACATGTCAGAGAGTGCAGAATCCCACAGCCTGCCCTTTGTGTACATTAGTCTATAGCAGAAATCCACATTTTGGAGACATTTTCCTTGTGTCTGTATATTATGACCTGATAGAGAAGGTCTTTTGATGAAGTACTATTTGAATAAAATAGCTTATTTCTTTGATACTTAGTTATTCGATGTTTTGGATTCACTGTTTTGCTTAGCCAGTACATGAACATTAGATTGGGCAGTGTTTGAGGAAAAGATGTTGCTGAAATTTCTTTTATGTTTTATATGAAAAATATACTATTTTTATGTATAAAAATGCTTCAGAATACAAAAATTGAGGATTTGCCTCTTTATAATTTTTGATTTGAAATGTTGCTTTCATATTTTCTCAGATGGTAAATGTTTCCTTATTTTTTTGATTCTTTAATGGTTTACTGTTTTTGATGCAGATAAATACTGAGGAACATGTGGATGCAGCTGATCAGGAGGTTATTTTATGGGATCATAATATTCCTGATGATATCCTGAAGGAAATAACTACCCCAAAAGAGGTACCAGCAGAAAGTGTTACTGTCTGGATTGACCCACTTGATGCTACACAGGAATATACAGGTAATTTAAAACATTGGCATGTATATTATAGAGTGTACAGGGGCAAAGTTATAAGAACTTCTTAGCCATAACAAAGCACCTTGAGGAATTGCTCACTGGGCTTGGGGACTTTGGACCACAGTCTCAGGGAACATCTGGGTCAATTAGTATAACATAGTCTACAAAGACAATATATATTCAGTGGGTAGCCAACAGGGGTCTTCAAAGCTTGTAAGTGGCCATTTAAGATGCCACTATTGATCTCTTCTCATCCAGAGCAAAAAAAAAGTGAAGAAAATCAAAGACTGAATGAAACAATTAGTCCAAAGGGCTAATGAACCCATGCAAACCATAACCTGTACTACCTAGAGACGAGAAAAACTAGTTGGTGCTTGGCTACCACTATCAATGGCTCTGATCAGATCACAATAGAAAGTGCCAGGCAGAGAGGGAGGGCAAAAAAAAAAAAAAAAGGCAAAACAAAATTGAAAAACATAAAAAAGATCAGATTTACTGGTCTGATAGAGATTGGTAGAACCCTTGAGACTGTTCCCTTAGACATACCCTTTATGCCTGGAACTGAGCCTACCCCCAGGGATCAACTTTCAGCCTAACTATAGACAGGCCCATAAGTAAATAACACCAGGGCGAACTGTACTCTTCAGTACAATCAACCAATACAAGACCAAAAGGGCAACCTTTGCTCCAGAACAAAGCTTAGAAGTCAGGAAGAGTAAGAAAGAAGGATGAATGGAAATGAGCAATCCAGGAAGGAAGTGGGAGTAGTGCTATTACATTGAGGGGGTAGCAACAGATGTCAGGAAACAAAATGTGTATAAATTATTTAATGGAGAACTAATTTGCTGTGTAAAGTTTCACCCAAACTATAATTAGAAAAAAAAAAAAAAATTAAATTACTGATCTCTAACTTTGGATTTCCTTTAAATATTGGAGAATTTAGACTGCTTCTCCCACTCCTGCCTACCTCTACAAAAAAAAAAAAAAACCCAGGTGGTATATTCATGAAGGTAGATATTTTACAATTTCAAAACTACTTTTGCAGTTAAATTTTAAGATAGCTGAATTAATGCAATGAGGTATGACACATTTGGACTGGATCAGTGATTATCGTCGTCCTCCCTCTGCTCCCGCCAGTCCCCTGTTTTATAGCATGCTTCTGTCAGTGACAGTGGCTCCCTCTGTCACTAGTTCTTAAGGGAAGGGAAATTTACGAGAAGATTAAGAAAATTTTTATTGGACACCCATTTATTGAGGAAATTTATTTAGCCAGAATGCAAATTTTACTTGGGATATTGAAAGTTTAGATTTTATTGTATGTACATTTGACCTTGGAATGCAAAATTGTAAATTCCTAGCACCTAGAGCAAGTAAGTAGCAAAACAGTTCTAGTGTCTTCATTGCTCTCTTAAGCTTGTTTTCATCATTGGACCCTTAGGCAGTACTTGCTGGGATTATTGTCTAAATTTCATATAAATGAATTTTAATGAAATAAAGTATATCATTGTATCTTGAATTTATAGTTTGTTACTTTGACATGTGTGGTATTTTTGTTTCTGTTCTCAGAGGATCTTCGAAAATATGTTACTACTATGGTGTGTGTGGCTGTAAATGGCAAACCTGTGCTAGGAGTAATACATAAGCCATTTTCTGAGTACACAGGTATGAAATATGCTGAAATTTGTAAGAGTTAATGTTGTGAACCATTTGTTTGTAGTGCTTACTGTCATGTGGGAATCTCAATTGTAACTTAGTAATTATTAAAGTCAAAGCCCCAAACCCCTACTTGATCTCACCTCTTCACTGGATAGAGTGAGTACTTTATTGTTGTTACTGAAGACAGATGGCAAAGTAGGGCTTTCAAAACTTTCTTGAGGAGATAGAAACTATGTTGAAAATGAGAGCCTCATTTTGTGGGGGATACAGTTGGACACAGACTACCTAGCCACCAAAGTCTACTCTCTCTTAATTCTGTTTTTGGGGTTGAAGTCCAAGGCTATTACTCTGAGGTAATTCTTTGTGGACTCTGAGGTCCACCATGTGGTTGCTCTAGCCAAATCAGCTCTCATACAGAAAATGATCTTGACGTTGTGATGGTTGAGGGCACTGCCAGCCTTACCATCAGAAGTGGAGGAGTTAGTGTCAATGTGAAATTGTAAAGAATTAAGCTAACTCCTGTGTAGCTCAGGATGCCCTTCAGAGTGCCTTGCTGACAATAGGTCAGATCCATGGTGATTGTGTTGGGAGTAGTATATGGAAGACCAGGCCAAAGAGCTTCCCATTCAGCTCAGGAGTAACCTTGCTCATAGTCTTCCTCGTCAGTGCTAATAGATGCAGGGATGGGGTTTTGGCAGCACCACAGCCATTACACTGCATTTTGACGATGAGTTAGACATGGTCTTCTGGGTGGTGTGATGATACAGACTGTGGTCACAAGTCCAAAGTGATACTATGAGTTGTCATGGTAGAGAGAGGAAGCAAACAATTAGTGGTATAAGCAGTGTTGCTGATAGTTTTAAGGGAATTATCATACTTTTCATTAGTAACTTTCATCAAAAATATGGAGCAAAGCTGATGAAATAAAGCCCTTTTAGCTGTGCTGTTCTTGAAAATGATGGAGTTCCTGAGTGACAGTATCCCTTTTATCAGTGTTGAAAGCAGTCTTAATGACCAGGTATAGTGGTTTGAATAGTTTTTGTTGTTATTATGTGCCATCAAGTCATCTCTGATTCATAGCGACGTTATGTACAAAGAACGAAACACTGCCCGGTCCTGTGCCAGCCTCACGATCCCTACTATCCATACTTTACTTGAGCCCATCACTGCAGCCACTGTCTCACTCCATCTTATTGATGGCCTTTCCTTCTTTTGTTGACCCTCTACTTTACCAGTCATGACATCCTTCTCCAGTGAATGGTCCCTTCTCATAACATGACCAAAGTAGATGAGATGAAGCCTGATCATTCTCACTTCCAGGGAGCATTCTGGCTGCACATCTTCCAGGACAGATTTACTAGTTCTTTCAGATTCGTTAGGTTTGAATAGTGTCTCCTCAAAATTTGTGTCCACCTAGAACCTCTGAGTCGGGCCCGACTCGATGGCAAACAACAACAACAACAACAGAACCTCTGAATGTGACTTTTTTGAAAACGGATCTTTGCAGATAGAATCAAGGTAAGGGTTGAGATGAGATCACACTGGATTAGAATGGGCTCTAAATCCAATGAGAATATACATCTTAAAAGGCAGAAAAGGATGCAGACACAGATACACAAGGGAACCGATGATGGGAAGATTGAAGCAGAGATTGGAGTGATGCTTTTGTAAACCAAAGAATGCCATTGAGCCTCCAGAAACTAGGGGTATTATGGGACTGATTCTTCTCAGACCCTACAGAAAGAACCACCCTGCTCACACCTTGATTTTTGACTTCTAGCCTCCAGAACTGTGAGAGAATAAATTTCTGTTTTTCTAAGTCACCCAGTTTGTGGTAACTTGTGATGGCAGCCCTGGGACACTAATATGCAGGCATCCCATACAATACTATTGTTTTCTCTGGCCTTCTCTCATTGTGTCTCTGATGTGACTGACAGTGAACAAAGAGGCTTTCTTTAAAGAGGGGTGAAACAGACAAGTTAATTTTGGATCACTCTAAAGTAATTTATTTGCTTTGCAGAAAAACCTTGGATTATAAATTCTGGCTGCTCTGATATATTTGAATGCTGTCTCTGCATTTCAAAACCAAGTCTACATTGCACCATCTGACCTTTTATTTCCCTTTGGTAATTTAGTCTTTAAAGTTGATGATTTGATGAACTGCAGAAGATTTATATTATTGCTATAATAATTACATAATCTCTTCATGACTTTTGGATTGTTTACATTTATTTCTTTCAGTCTTTGCTAAATTGGATACGATTAGGCTACTGTAATAGATACCACAATATATATAGATGATTGAACAGAACAGTTGATCTTCTCACTGATAGCCTATATGCAAGCAGTCTAGGGCTACAAGGGTAGCAGCTCCTATGGCCAAGCACATAGCCTGCTGTTTCTTGCTGGTTTGCTCTGCTAAGTTATGGCATAAATAGACTATCAAGCATAACTAAAATGTACAGATAGCAGAATATAGACTAGATCATTGGGACCTCCTAAAAATTAAATCCCTGTGCTCACAGAAACTTCATGAAATGGATAAAAACAACCTGTAGACTGGGAAATAATTTTTTGCCAGTGACATATCTGACAAGGGTCTGACCTCTAAAATTTATAGAACACTTCAGTACCTCAATAGCAAAAGGACAATCCAGCTAAAAACTGGGCAAAGTATATTATCAGACATTTCACCAAAGAAGACAATAAGCTGGCTATCAAACACATGAAAAGATGCTCATGATCATTAACCATTAGAGAGATGCAAATCAAAACTACAGTAAGATACCATCTCACCCCAGCAATAATGGCAGTAACCAAAAAAAAAAAAAAAAACCCACAAAGAACCATAAATCTTAGACATTGCTGGTGGGACTGCAAAATGGTACATCCACTGTGGAAAACAGTATGGCACTTTTTTTTTTTTTTTTTAATTGTGATTTAGGTGAAAGTTTACAGAGCAAATTCACTTTCCATACAGCAGTTCACATACACTTGGTGTCATGACATTGATTATAATTTACCACAATGCAGCAGCTTCCATACCACTTCCTCCCCATAGTTACCTCTTCCCTGTGTCCTCTGCTCCATGAACTCCTGCCCCCTGAGCTATTTCCCTCTATATGCACAGCCCTTCTATTCTCCCATGATTATTCTCTTCAAGGAGAATGCCTGTCTTTTGTTTGTCTGGAAGCCACAGGAGTGGGTTCAGTTCCAGACCTAAAGGGAAGCTGGGGCCATAGTCTCAGAGGGTTTCACCAGGCTGTATCAGATCAGCAAACCTGGTTCCTTTTTTTAAAAAATTATTTTGAGTTTTGTTCCACATTATTCTCCCACTCTATCCAGGATGTCTTACATAGATCTCCTTCTGAGTAATTGACAGTGGTCACTGGGCACCATCTAGTTCTTTTGGTCTCATAGTCATATAGGCTGAGGATCACATGGTGTACCACTCACTTGGACTAATTGTTTCCATGTGTCTTTGGTTTTCTTCATTCTTCTTTGCTCTGGACAAGGAGAGACCCATTGTTGCATCTAGATGGCTGCTTGCAAGCTTTTAAGATTCCAGTTGCTACTCACCAAAGTAGGATGTGGATCAGTGTTTTTGTGTAGTATGTTATGCCAATGGAGTTTGATGTGCCCTGTGACTATTGTTCTGAACCTACAGGTCCAACTACTCACTCCCTCTGGGTAGCTGACTGTGGCCAAGAAGTAACTACAACTTTGTCACTTGTCAGCTCTACTATATTCCTGGGAATTCTTACAGAACATACAAATACTCTTGTAGAATGTTTCATTCACATAAACCATTGTCTGCAAACCCTATACATGGTCTTGGGTACACTCCCCCCTGCATAGACATACCTAATAGTTTAGCCTGTCCACTCATCTATCCACCCATATGTCCATGTTTTCCTTCACTGACAACACAGTACTGTGTGTACAAAAGTGTTCATCTTTGTTGTCTGTACCTCCCATGTACCTCTCTACATCTTCCTCTTCCTCAATGCCACTGTGTTGATCACTCACATTTGATACACTGCCCTTCTCTTCATCCAAATCAGTACTTGTCTCCACGTATCTAAGCGTTCCCTCCCATCCCCTCATACCTCTGGTAACCAACAAAGAAAAGTTGCTTCCATATATAAACCTTTCCTTGACTTTTTACAATAAAGGACTAATACAATATTTGTCCTTCTGTGACTGACTTATTTCACTCAGCATAATGTCTTCCAAGTTCATCCACATTATGCGATTCTTTGCAAATTCTACGTTATTTTTTAGCATTGCATAGTATTCCATTCTGTGTATGTACCATAGTTCAGTTATCCATTCTTCAGTTGATGGCCACCTAGGTTGTTTGCATCTTTTGGCTATTGTAAATAGTGCTGCAATGAACATGGGTGCACATATATTTGTTCTTGTCTTGGTTCTCACTTCTTTAGGTATATACCTATTAATGGAATGGCTGGGTCAAATGGTATTTCTCATTCCAATTTTTAAGGAATTGGCATACTGCTTTCCACAGTGGTTGTACCATCTTACAGTCTCAACAACAGTGTATGAGAGTTCCAATCTCTCTGTATCCTTGCCAGCATTTATTATTTTCTGTCTTGTTGAACTTTGGTACTAGTGCTGGAGCAAGATGGTATCTTGTTGTTTTGATTTGCATCTGTCTGTTGGCTAATGATTGTGAGCATTTTTTCATATGTTTGTTGGCTGCCTGAATATCCTCTTTGGTGAAGTGTCTATTCATGTCTTCTGCCCATTTTTTAATTGGATTTCTGTCTTTTTGTTGTTGAGGTGTTGGAGTTTTCTGTAATTTCTAGAGATAAGTCCCTTTTCTGATACGTCATTGCCAAATAATTGCCAAATATTTTTTTCTTAATCTGTAGTTCTCTTTTGACTCTTTTGGAGAAATCTTTGGAAGCACATAAAAATTTAATTTTGAGAAGGTCCCGTTCATCTAGTTTCTCTTCTGCTGTTTGTGCATTTTGGGTTATGCT